CAAGGGGCCTTTAAATGCATATACTGAGACACAGCCCTGAACAGCCCCATGGAAAGCTGATGTTTCCTGGTAATTGTTTCAGATCTGGCAATATCTGTCTAGCCAATTGCTATACTTCATTATATTACTGGGAATTTGCTTGAGGACTGAGAGTTCTCCTTGTAATTATTTCTCCACTTCATCTTGAGCTGCAGACCCGGATGGCACTTTAGCAGTATTTGGATCTGGACATTATTTATGACCTTGTGAATTAATTTGCTTTATGAAATCTGACTTCACTTAATAATGAAATCACTGCAGCTAGACTAGAGTCTAATTTGGAAACTAGACAGTCTTCCAAAATAGAGCTGGCTTCACTCAAGTGAGGTTTTAAAAGAGGCTTAGTCCTTTGCTTATGTGCATTAACCCCAGGGCAGTAGGTTGTATACCCATTAAACTTGCAAGGTGGGGTCCTTAATTAAATTGTGGAAAGCACTTAGGCTAAAGTGGTTGAACTTCAGTGTCTGAACCTTCACCTGAGGACCAAAATCAGGGGTCTGCAATACATGGCCTGTGGGCTATATTTGATCACCAGAGCCCTGGATCGCCCACAGAGTCTGAGGGCTTTACTTATGCCAGAGCCTGTGCTGGGGCCAAACAGCTTCCAGTTGCATCTGCTGTTTCTCTTCCTTACCCCCAGGCCTCCTTTCCTCCACAGGTGCAGGTTACAGACAGTGTGGGTGAGGGAGCTGTGCCAGGGTGGGGTAGCTGGAAACTGTCCACACTGCTGCTGCTTCATCCTCCCCACTTCCCCATCCCCTACCTCCCAGATGTAACCTAGAATCATAGAAAATGAGGGTTGGAAGGGACCTCAGGAGATTTAGTCCAACCCTTGGCTCAGAGGACCACCCCTGGTTTCCAGCTGTTCAGCCCTAGTGCAGCTCCCAAGCTGGAAGCTAGGCTTAGCCCCAGCTGAGGAGTGGGGAGGGACAGGTAGAAATGGCAGCAGAGTCCAGTTGTTTGACCCAGCCTGACAGAGGTGCAGGGAAAGCCCTCTAGTACCAATATGCTCTACCTGGTTGATGCAGAATGCCCATCTAAATAATTGCTTTTAGGACCCATTAGAGCAGCAGGGAACATTCTGCACCATGGCTATACTAGGGCAGCTGTAAGAAACCCACACAAGTTTTGCCTTTGTTCCTGAACAGCTCTAGGCCTCCTCTGACTTACAGCTCAGAATCCAGGCCTGAATCTATGTAATTTAGCTCTTGCTGCTCATCTGGCCACACACTGGTTATTTCCTTCCTTTTATAATTTGCCATTTCATTCCCTTCTCTTAGGACAAAGGTTCTTTTTCATTAAAAAGGACCTGATTCTTGTTAAAGCAGCTGCAGTGACAGAACATGGCATACTGCCCAAATGCACCATGCTGGGAATAATACAAGCACAACACTCAGTAACCTTGTCTAACACTCAGGCTCCTACACAAAGCTTGTTGGGATCAGGTGACAGAAAAACCAACACTGGTGCTCTAAAATGGACTTCATCATGGAACAGGGCTAGTGATTGCAGCTCCACCTGCTTCTGTGCAGACATTTTACATCCCGCTTGGGCACATTCTGGTGCAGATCTAGCAAGAAGCTTGCAATGTGGAATGGGTGCTAGTTTTTACATATTGATGACTTACAGCATGGCTTTTACCAGTGGTAATGAAGCAGGGATAAGTTTCCTGAAAACCATCTTAATAAAAAGGACTTTATTTTTAATAGCCCAAGGACTGTTCCAGCCTCACACTCACCGTTGTGAAGCAGAGCTTGCTGAAGGATGTGCTGTTTAACTACAAATTTGTCCTGAGAGCCTACTTCAATGAGTGGAGGATTTTTCAAAAGTGCTCACCCTTAAACTCAATGCTAAAGGACTCTTTTCCATCTCAAGAGGGAGCAGACTCAGTCCCCACTGCACACTGCAAAGAAGTTTCAGCCTCTTTGAAGCCTATCACTAAGCAGAGTGGCTTGCAAAAGGAGGGAACATTTCCCTTCCTGTAAGCAAAGTCACTTACAAGTATTTGGTGAGCACAACTACATGCTGGGAGACACCCCCCCCCAAATTACCTTATGAGGAATGAAGCATCTCTACTCACAGGTGTCATCTGGCAATGAGCTGGATGCAAGAACCAACCCAAACTGAAGCACAGGAGTGCTGCACCTAATAGCAGCATATTGTTTGTGGTTTTAGCTAAGTAACACCATGTTTTAAAGCCTGTGCTTAAGGTAACAGGTGAAGAACCAATTGGTCAGCATTCAGGGAGCCCTAGTAACTAAGTAGCAAACACAAAGTTTAGGATCGGAAAGGCCTCCCAAATTAAGTCCAGGCCTCTGCTATTGCAGGCAAACATCCCTGTCAGATCAACCAAAATCTGAGTCAGGGTTTTTGCTTACACGACAACTGGAAGGCTGATCCAACCTTGTAACTGATAACCATGCTCAGAAGCTTCCAGTCTAATTTGAATCATAGCTAGTTTCTATGTTAAACATTGCTCTTTAGGCTTTTTCTTCTTGCTTGGAATTTAACCCGTGAAGTATTTATAGATAAAACAATCATTTCCCCTTTCACATTTTGGTTTGCTAAGATAAACAAGTCAAAGATTTTTAACCTCCTTTTGCAAACTAGGCCATTTCCTTTTTGTTAGAGTGGCAGTTATCTTCACTTTTTTCATTTTGAATCAAGTCTCCCTTCAGTATGGCTAAGCAAAACAGTGCATAAACGCATGAAAGTGAGAATGTAACATCCTGACATGACATAAAATTTAATCCTGGTAATACTGTACAGGAAATACCTCAGCTAAATGCATCTTAGGCTCATATTTGCCTTTTCCAAAGCTGTATCAACGTGGCTATATCTGATGGGCAGTAGTCACCATCCTGCCAAGCTTACCCAATGGATGGACTCCAGCCTACAATAGGAACTTGAAACCTTATGCATAACCTTGCACTTTGTACTATGGACTGGGATGTGCGAATTCACTCTACTGCTCTGTATAATCCAACTGTACTGATGAGGTTCCCTGTCATTTTGGTAGCGACTTACTGGCAGTTTAGTCCCAAAACTGATCAGGAAGCTGCATTAGTACTTTCCTTCCAACATCACTCAACCCAGCTCTGGAGTTGGCCTCCTACCTCAATATGCACTACACGGTAATAACCTGCTTGGCAGACACTTGCTAACTGCCTCCAAGTCATCTCATGTAAATTAAAAGATCTCAGCAGTGTTATGCTATGGAGTAGGAACTGTTCTCCTTCTTTCTTAACCTGGTCTCTCTCTCATTTTACTTTCTCAAGCTATATTCTTCACATTTAAGAGGACCTTTACAACTCAGTTTTATTATCGTGACTAGTCCCTCTACATCTAGGATGTTTAAGTACCTAAGCTTTATATAGCAATCTATGGGTAGAAATACTCCCCTGCTCCTCCCCCCTCCAAAGATAAAAAGCCCACTTTTCTCATGTTCATGCTTTGCATTGCAACTGCCTTTAAAAGATATAAAAGTTTACATTATGCTAGTTATACCAGCCAACTTTAATGGTAGATCTTTCCTACTAATGCTTGTAGAGGTATACTGTAGTGTAGTAGAGCTGAGAACATCACATTCACCTTCTGGTGAAGAGGAACATCTCTATATGAGCCTGTTCTCCATTGTGCTGTTTATTACAGCCTACTTTTAGAGGAAGACTTAATACAGCATGATCTTTAAACTTGGATTAGAAGAATAAAAGACCACGTGTCAGGTTTGATTTTTTTCCCTCCACTGATGATACATGAATGCTTCACAGGTTGCAATGCCAGTTTTGGAGCTTGAGAAATGTGGTCTCCCACCCCCACCCCAGGTATTCTGAATTTCATCTATATTTGAGGCAGCTCCCTCCAGAATCAGACAACAACTTTTTAAACACTGGGCTACTTTAAAAAGAGTAGCAAATGAACATCCTACATTTCTTTAACTTGCAACAATCTCCTATGCAAGGAGGAGAGAGAGACAACTTGAGAGTTATTGTTTTTAATACAGTATGTTAGAAAATACAAATAAAATAAATGATCAAAATAAAATGAGTTCCTGAAATCTAAAGATTTCTTTGTGACATTTACACACATGCTGTAGATTTCACAGATTATACACATTACTGTTCCCCCCAAGACGCTCCATTTACTGGACTGCTGGAACAAGATGGAGCTTGGACATTTAAATAAGCGCCTCAACCCAATTCTGTATTTAGGGGGGGTGGGGGAGAGTCCCCTTTCTTCTGAGTAGGGAA